TTTAGCCCAAGAGCACATAATCCTGCACTCTGAGAGGCAGTTCGTGAGAGTGAGAGCGTGGTTTGTTGGTTTGTAGCTGCCACGCTATGAAAAAGGAATGGCTTGATTCACTATGAGGTCCCGAGGAAGGAGCCAGAAACAGTGATCTCTCCCACCTCACCGAGAAAGGCAGCAGCTGAATGACAAAGTAGATAGGGAAAAGGGAACGGTCCTCTGTGGAAAGGGACTTCCAGGTATCTCCTCCAGGCTGACTCTAGAGGATGATTTTAGAAGAAACGGAATACATATATTAATACAGCCTGTTCCCCAGGCCAGGAGTCTGTGTGGGTTAATGTCCAGCTACCAAGGGGGCTGTTTTCTTTCATATAATGAGCTGTGCCCACCTAGTCACCCTTTTAGGGGATATTGGCAGTGTGGTGATCTCCTGATCTGTGCTCCTGTATCTCCCACACTGTAGTCAGACAACTTGTCCTAAGTCTGTCTTCTCCCTGGATTGCGAGCACCTGAAGGGCAGCGACACACCTGGTGCTTGTTGAGTGGCTTCCTCATAAGTAGTCATTGAGCAGAACTGAGCCGTGGTGGAAGAAGAAAAGCACTGCTGCTGACCATGCAATGGTAAGGCTTGGCTCGAAAAGGCAGCCAGGTTCTGGAGCCCAGAACAGTGCCTAGCATACAGTAAGTGCTCAATAAATGCCCCCTCCGCACAATTTTTTATTTTAAAAAACTTCAAACCTGTAGAATCTTGAAAGAATGGTTCAGTTAACACCTGTATGCCTTTTACCTAGATTCACCAGTTGCTAACATTTTTTTTTTTTTTTGAGACAGAGTCTCGCTTGTTGCCCAGGCTAGAGTGAGTGCCATGATGTCAGCCTAGCTCACAGCAACCTCAATCTTCTGGGCTCAAGCAATCCTTCTGCCTCAGCCTCCTAAGTAGCTCGGACTACAGGCACACGCCACCATGCCTGGCTAATTTTTTCTATATATATTAGTTGGCCAATTAATTTCTTTCTATTTCTAGTAGAGACAGGGTCTCGCTCTTGCTCAGGCTGGTTTTGAACTCCTGACCTCAAGCAATCCACCCGCCTTGGCCTCCCAGAGTGCTAGGATTACAGGCGTGAGCCACCTCGCCTGGCCTGAAGCTGAAACTTTAAACCCTGGAGGTGACAAGGAATTGTATATTTTCTGTGTCTTCATCTTCCCCTCTGTTTCTCCACAATTCTTGCTTCTTTGTCTTCATCTTCCCCTCTTTGTTTCTCCACAATTCTTGCTTCTTCCCAACCCTGAAATTCTTCCAACCCAAAAAGTAGAAGATGGCTTCCTGTAACTTAGGTAAGAATGTCCTCCTCTTCCAAAAGTAGGTCCAGTAGTATATTCACTCACTCAAGGTAACTGATGATGGAGGTTCCCCAAAGAGGAATCACTATTCACCAAGATGTTCCCTATTGCCAACTGATAACTAAGACTCCAGAAAAGGGCCCAATTTGTAACTCCCAGAGCCTCTTACCTTGAGCCAACATTGTAGATGTTGTACTGTAAGGTCAGGTCTCGCCCCTCCACAGCATATCTGTTCAACAGTGATTTGGAGGCCAAAAGCCTGGCTCCTTCCTCTGCTTGAGTGACAGCAAATAGAGCCAACACCACAAATGCCAATAGCTTCATCTTTGGAGAAAAAAGCAAAGTGAGCAGTTAACCCAAGAATGTAAAAATCACCAAAATCCTGTTATGACAGCCCTACCTTACAAGCCTGAAAAGCTCTTTTGATCCTATCAAAGCAGCAGCCCCTTCTCAGAGCAGCCCATAAGCCACGAGCACAGACCCATTCTCCAGACTCGCCCATCTCCACCCGCAACCCTCGGAAAATCAGTCCAAACACCAGCATATCCACTATCCCACTTCCTGTCAGGGGGCCTCTGGGTGCTCACTAAGTGGTGGGGGTCTTCTGAGAGGTCACCACATGGCCAAAATAGGGCCTTCCTTGGGGTGCCTGATTTCGGCCGACTTCGGACCTGCAGCAGCCTCTAGCTTTCCCTCACACAGAAATGCCCCACAACGGCAGCCTTCCCGCTGCTCCTCTCCTCCGCCACACTCCACTGGGATCCCACCGCGCTCTCGCGAGGTCCTTCCCATGTCCCTGTATCCGACTCCCCAGTCCATCCTCCGGGATCCCATCCGTCCTCGCCCCACATCCCTTTCTGGTCCCCTCAGGGGGCTCAGTCCGCTTTGCCCCTCCCCCCTCTCGTCAAGGTTACACGTTCTCCCGCAGGTGCGCCCTCTTTCCTACCCGCCCTTTCCGAACTAACCCCAGCCACTGGATGGTGCACGGACACAAGATTCTCGCCTCTCCTGCTCAGACGCCCTAAGCCTCCGGACTCACCGTGCGCATCCCAAACGCCTTTCCCCGCGGGAGAGCCACCAAGACCGGAAGAGAGCGTCAGCACACGAAAGACCGGAAATGAGCTATAGCCGGAAACCGTAGTGTTTCGCCCAATGCCTTGTGGGAGTTGTAGTTCTTCGACAACTCCCCGCACCGCCCTTTTCTTTGTATGTCTGCCTGCCAACACGATGTGAGACCTCCTAAAACAGGTTTGTCTGTCCGTCCTCCACGCCTTTCTTTTTCTACCTTTTCAGTGGCTTTGCAAGCTGGCTTGTGACTACTGTATATGACCCGCACCTGGTTAGGTGCTTTGGGAAACTAGCAAACCTAGCAATTTGGATCGTCTATCTAGAATGTCGAATGTACCGTCGAATTGGGAATTAAAGAAAAGCTATTTCTACCAGCATTCCTGCATTTCTTCTATTCCCAGGCTATAAACTTAGTCATTCTCTCTATCCAGCAAGTCACCAGTCCTGAGCTTTATTTAGAAACCCTTTAAAGTGCCAGAAAAGTACATCCTTTCTTCTCCATTCTTACTGTAACTGCTTTTAGTTCATGCTTGTTACTCTATGTTGGTTTTACTCTAGTAGTCTCCCTATCATAGGTCTTTCCCTGCACTTTTCAATCAGCTACCATTCAAATTTCCCAAAACAGCATTTTGAACAGTAGACTCTAGGTTCAGAGGATGAACTGTGAAGTTAGGCAGTCATGAATTCAAGTCCCAGTTCTGCCACTTACTGGTTAGGTAACCTTGAAACAAGTGTTACTTATATAACACTTTGGTTCCCAAATCTGTAAAATAAGATAATTATAGTACTCTCAAAAAGTTGGAGGATCAAATAAGATCATATATGTAAAGCTCTTAGAATACTACCTGGCACCTGTATGTGCTAAGTTAATGGTAACTGTCAATATCACTATTATTCTATATCTCCATTGTAGCATTCCTGCATTCAGTATGTATTTATCAAAAACCTACTTTGTGCCTGGCACTGCTGTAGGTCCTGGGGATACAGTGACGAAGATGACAGGTAAGTTTTCTGTTTTCTGGAGGCTTACATTCTTGTGGGATAATACATATCACCTGTATTTGTTTTAGGATCTGTACCCCCATTCTCCATCTCCCAAATGGAGCTTTTTGAGGATATTATCCAGATTGTCTATTTTCCATTGCTTAGTGTCATGCCTAAGCACACAAGACATAATCCAGGAATGAATAATAATGACTTCCCTATATACAACCTCCAGTCTGCTCCTACATCAGTCCTTTGTGTGTGACTTCCCTGAAATGTCCTATTGTCCTCTTTCCTATCCAAATCCAACTGACCTTCAGGACCCTGTTCTAATCTCATTCGCTCTGGGAAGCCTTCCTTTGGCTTTGATTGATCTTTTACAGCACCACAGTTTCATGTTTTCTTCTAATTGTTTCTGGCTTGAAAAATGTACTTGAACAATTAGGTCCTATTTCTCTAGTGTACACTTATCCAAAGACCCAACAGCAATGCTGAGCACACAGGAGGCACTCAAGAAATACCTGCTGATTGGAGGAATTTTCATTCCTTTCCAAAGATTTTTTTTTCGGGGGAGGCAGAGTCTCACTCTGTTGCCCCGGCTTGAGCGCCATGGCGTCAGCCTAGCTCACAGCAACCTCACACTCCTGGGCTCAAGCAATCCTCCTGCCTCAGCGTCCTGAGTAGCTGGGACTACAGGTACACACCACCACCACACCCAGCTAATTTTTTCTATTTTTCATTGCCCAGCTCATTTTTTTCTATTTTTTAGTAGAGACGAGGTCTCCCTCTTGCTCAGGCTGGTGTCAAACTCCAGACCTCAAGCAGTCCTCCTGCCTTGGCCTCCCAGAGTTCTAGGATTACAGGCGTGAGCCAACATGCCCGGCCTTAAGATTACTTTCTGTGGCAATTTCTCCAGGATTGGAAAGATATAAAGTGTGGGTGTTCTTGTTCTCAGACTCAGCTACACCCAAAAGAAATAAGTCTTCAGCACATACTGTCCAAACACCCCACAAAATAACCACTTCTGGATT